TTGATGCATTCATAAATTCTCCACTCTTTCTACGCTAAAATGTCTAAAAACAAACTAAAAGTCAAGACCTGTACAGAGCATCACACCTCAGTAAACAATCTCATAGATTTCAACCCACCCACAAACAGCAACTTTACAGCTGTGTTATTCGCCTATACAGAAAAAACAAACATTACTCCAAAACACAACATTCCAATTCCAACTGCAAGAACTGCTAGGACATCAATACAAGCTCTATAACCAGTACGATAACTACATATGAAACTCACTACATCTATAATTTATTGGTGCATAACATTTCGCAACTTTTGAAACCATACTACACTTCTATATAACATCACAATTCCACTCTTATCATCAACAATGGTAATCAACAATGATTCACATTCTATTTCATCAGCTTCTAAGTGCAAACAATTGTTTTGCACCTTTCTCTCCTCTAAAACATCCCTGGCCTTCCTACAAATTTGTTGCACCTAACAGTACAATTCAAAGACCAAATGTTGCATCCAAATGACTGTTTTGCTTGGAATACAACCCACATGAAAAACCAACACTTCCTAAACTTCTCATTTCACAAAGCACAAAATTATACTCATGTCCTAAATAAATTAAATCACACAGCTGACTTCTTTATAAACACACGTACTGTGCATTATCAACAAAAACTGCAACTAATATTACAATCCAAATAATTACATTTCAGAAAAATCATGTGAAATCAACAGGAAAACAACTCCAGAAACCAGACCTGCTAAAAGTAATACAGCCCAAGTTCAAATCATGCTATAGCAACCATACTAAATTAAGGCTTATGCAATTAACATGTTACTCCAACTAAAATAATAATACACTTCACTGGAATAGCAAATCCTGTGAAATTTGCAACAGCGAACATTGCATCACTTTCAAGAATTTCACAACACAAAAAAAGAAATCCTTACCTGGAGACAACAACTCCTGTATTTCACCTTCCCAGGATATTGACAAAAAAAAAAATTCCCTCATCAATGCCATCAATTATAATCTATTAAAATACTTACAAATGTTTCTTCTAGCATAACAGCAATGTACCACAATTACAATACACGAATAACACAAAAACCAAACACAAGCATTATATAACCAATGACACAGAGGACAGATATACTTCAGATGATACCATTTTGCAATATCAGGCCTGTCATTAAGAGTCCAAAACCCATAACATCTGTTACGCCTGAGCATCCTTGATCAGCCCTTGATGTTACAGGTGAACTTGCCTGTTCTGGATACAATTCACCCACAAAGTAACAAGTTCCTTACAGGTACAAGGGCAATGAGTGAATCTAAACTTAATGACAGCCCTGCTATAGCATATCACCTTTTTATACAACATTAACCATTCTTTCAACATATCATTCATGTTAGGACACATTTCGTCACCTCCCCCTTCACGCCTCAAATGCTAACCGTACGCAAACATGACTATATAATTGCTAACCGCAAGCAAACAGCACTAATTAAAAGCGAACTATCTATGTGTCCTAACATGAACTATCCCATTCTCTCATTTAACTGACCCCATGCAAATACCTAAGTGTGTCACCTCAGACACAATAATATTATTGACTCACCTACCCTTGACAATAGGTGACCAATCTGGAGAGGTTGATCCTTACAGGCAGGTTTAAATAACATTGACTCAATAGAACATAACAAACAAAACGAATGCAGTTCAAGACAGATGGCCCTTTCTGTAGCTTCAAAGTCAACTTCATTCCCTTACTCAACACCACTATAAAACTAAAACCCTCTGTGCTTTCTGAACAAAAAGGGTTTACATTTACAATCAGGTATGCATCACGCAGACTCTTTAGAATATCAACATTTTTATGCAGACCACTTGAAAACAATCACTTTGTGCTGATGTCTAGGCAGTTTACTCACTCTGTGTTTATAACAGAAACTTCCACTGGGCCACAATACAATAGTTTACAATATTCTACTCAATTAGGAAATTCTGATGAAATGCTACATAAATAGTTCTGTTACAAGATTCAATAATATTACTTATTTGTATACAAGGAATCAGCTATTTTTGCATAGAATGTTGTTCTGCTAGAGACAGACTGAATAAGCTACACCAAGAGAATCATACAGAGCTAAAGACAAACTTCATTTCAACTAGCCAAGTCAATCAACTTGACATTTCTTCGGCAACAGCAATGTTCACTGTGACTTTGTGTTAAGGATGACTGAGGTTTTAGTACTAGACTTAACTAAGCTTGACAATAGACTGTATTATTTAGAAGTTGCACCTTAACTAGTATTTCAGTAGCTATTGCTAAATTAATAAACACTAATACATTGTTATTGAGAGTAGACAATTTGCAATGCCCATGCCCACGTATGACTTCTGTGAGCCATGTAAGCCAGCAACAATGACCTCAATGAAAAGCTAACCTCCCACTAATGAAACTATCTCAAACCAACTGCAGTTTCAGTGTTAAGAGCCTAGACATAAATAATTCAAAGCTGCTTATTTCAAAAGCTTTTCAAGAAAAATAAATATTGTATTTTCCTCTCAACAACTTTTTCCTTTTTCCTTTCAGATATATTAAATAGTTCCTGTATTATGCGAATGTAGAAATTTATGATGTCATAAATTGTTACAACTCAACAGAACAATACTGAATCAATAATATCTCAACAATTATCCAAGCATTCTTCCTTAAACTTGTCTTCAATAATGTTAAAAAAAAACATTCTGTAGTTGAGCCAGTTTACACTAGCTATAATAACAATATTAGCACTGGTCTTGCGTGAATTGCAACTAAAATTCCAAGGTTTTGTCTTCAAGAAGGATCATCCACTGCCAACAATCTACTGAATCTACCAACAATAATTACAACAATATACACAAATAGCCACCATGTTACAAGAAAAACTCTTAAGGAGCACTTTTAACAGTTGGAAATGGGGATATTTGACTTTTGACAAGGGTGTTGTCACGGGAATGGCAATTCAACTGTTATTTATGCTATGGCAAGCAAGCCATTCAACCCATTCAAGCCATGCAAGCCACTTATCCCCACTGTCTCTAAGCCTAACCACAAGCCAACAACATTTATGGGGATTGGTGGGATTGGGGATTATTAAGCCTAAACAGGTATTATCCAGGATTAACAGACTGCCATATTTACGTTAACCAAAATGGCTAACAAGTTGCCTTGCATCAGTCGCTGGCTACGACTTTGAGCAGACCCTAACATTTCATTTCTTACAACACATAAATCAATACATTTCACTCCAATCACATCCATTGATCAATTCACACAAAGCAAAAAAAAATACCGCTAACAAACAAACCAAACCAAAAGAAATTCACAATAACCATGTTGGTATCTGAAGGTCTCCTTATTGCAAATAATTGAATTGCCTTCTTCTGGGTACCAAATAATGATGACAATGATGATGCAGAAAAAATCACTTCAATTATAATTTATTACAATAACCACATTAAATGTACACAAACATGCATTACTGAATATAACAACAATACCACACCAACAATTCCCAAGACCCAACTAACTAACAGGGGTCTCAAAATGTGTCTGCAGTGGGAAGAGTAGGCCAGGCTGTGACATGTTAGAGTCCACAAGGCCACTCATCTTTGGGGGAATGGGGGCATGCCCCCCTCCCCACAGAAAATTTTGAAATCTACAATATACAAGTTAGGAAATGCCATTTTCTGCAATCAGTGTTTGAAACTGATCTGTGAATGGCATAATTTTTTTCCTTTAATTTCTTGGGTACCATAACTTTCACGACAATAATTTTATTCAAGGAAGCAATGATTTTCATTACCCACTGTGTCACCTTACTTTACTGAGTGGCATGACAATTCAAAGAAATCCTTTTAACACATATTTTGTCTGACATTAACAAATGTAAAACAAAAAAAAATTAGATTCAACCATTTCCAAATCTAACATTTTCATTTATAATGCAGCTTTTAAAGCTAGTCTTCAAAGTGCAGTTAATAGAATGTGGTGCACTAAGCTTCTGTAGGGTAATTACTGAAATTATAAGTATGTGCGATAGTTCAATGAAACACAGCTAATTCTTTACTCTATCTTGACTCAAACACACAATGAAAACTCAGCCTTTCATCAATATATGTTGCACACAACACTGTCTACTACACCAGAATGGCTAGCATATCCTTCTCTTCATTTTGTGCCAAAATGGCTAGCATATCCTTCTCTTAAGGTATTATGGCAGGTGGATTTTTACGAAAAATTCGAAAAATCTCTTTTTGCCTGTTCAAATTGAGAAGATTGAGATCAATATTTTGCAAAAAGAATGGGGGAAAAGGCTTTTTTACTTTTTAAGATAAACAAGAAAAAAAAATGTTTCAATATCATTAACCCCTTACAGCATGTTGACAACTCTAACTCTAATTCACCCCCACTTGGCACATGTAATGCATATTGCGGTGTGATGCTTCATTTCTGCACGCGAACTGTTCTCAATCTGGTTGTTTCGTCACAATTTAGCTTTTGTTATTGTCTGAGTTTCTTTATGTCAGCACGAAAACTCTTACCCATTTTTGTCTTCAAAAAAAACGAAGAGGCGAAAATCTGGTGAAACCCACAGGTTCACCATCAAACAAGATCTTTGGCTCTGAGTAACCGTGGGTCATACTGAAACCAAGAAGAATGGTTGGACAAACTCGATGACTCTAGTCCCGCCAATGAAGCTGAAGGACAAACTACAACAAGTGCTCATCACATGAAATTGCTGGAGAACAGACACCATTCCAAAACTTAACAACAACAGAGTTAAGCGCAAATGTACATGTTGACAATATAGACNTCTCTCTTTCTTTCTTTCTTTCTTTCTTTCTATACATCCA